ACAAGCCTGAGCAAGAGATGGCTGGAGCTGCAGGGCTGTTGGGGCTCAGCAGAAGCGCCAGGATCAGTGCCGCTTTCCAGCTGATCGGCACTTCTTCGGGGCTGTCAGGGCTCAGTGGAAGCACCAGGATCAGCGCCAGGCTCCAGCGGGAGCTTGGTGCTGATCCTGGTGCTTCTGCTGAGCCCTGAAGAAGCACCAATCAGCTGGAAAGCAGCACTGATCCTGGTGCTTCTGCTGAACCCAGAAGAAGCGCCAATCAGCTGGAATGTTGCAGCATCTCCAGGGTCTTGTGATTTACATTCAGATGCTTGGCAACTGATTTATATTTATGACGGTCACAGTGGCTCAGGATCATGTGAAGTGACCAAAACCTGCTGCAACCACCCAGCAGACGGAAGGGGGGGGGGAAATAAAAACCAAACACCCCCCACCCCACCCCTGCTGCCAATCCTCAACAGAAATGCTCACAACAATGGAAACCTCAGACAGGAGGAAGATTGCCGCCGGGTGAGCAGGCAGGTGTCTTGCTCAGCTGTGGCTTGGGGGGCTCTTTTTTCAGTGCCATTGTAACTTTGAACAGTCACTAAGCAAACTGTTGTAAGTCGAGGACTACCTGTACATTATCACTTTTTGGGGGGGTCAACAAGTTTTTGACACCTTGCTAGGCGACTGGTGGTACTCGGATGTTGCCATATCCTAAAAGTGGTACAATGGGTGAAAAGGTTGAAAAGTCCTGCCATAGACCATTACTGACCGGAACTGGCACGTACAGCTTCCTATGCAAATAATCCATGACTTACAATCATAATTGAACCCAAAATAGTAGCTTTGACCCTGTTCAAGCCACTGTTGTATGAGAACTGTCTTGGTCTATGGTAGCAAAAAAAAAAAAAAAAAAAAAACCAAACACCAAAAATCCAGAAGGAATTTGTTAGCATCTTTTCTAGCTGACACATTTTATTAAAAGGCATAAGCTTTTGTGAGCTTTGAAAAAAAATATTAGCAAACTCCTTTTACTCAAGCTGTCAAGTAAAGTAAAAATAAATAAATCCTGAAAACTAAAAATAAATAAAAAATAAAGACAGGAAATAAAGCAAGCCCTCACAAAAGCAACTGGAAGACTGTCAGGGTAGCAGTCAACATAGCAAGCCGTGGCTACAATATCATTGGTTTAAAGGGTTGCTGGTACTAACTACTGTATTTTTTCCATGGTCCAATACCAGGGAGAAGTGGGTGAAAACCTACGTGTAATATTTTCTATGCAAATTTCAGAGTTTTCCCTACACTGCTGCAGTAAAATCTTTTAGTAGTTGTAACTAGGTCTGCACAAGGTGCTGAGCCATATTGTGGTTTGACTAAGTGGAAAGTTCTACCCTGAAACAAAATTCAAGGCTGTGGTTGAAATAAATGTCATAACCACATACCATTGACCTGCTTTGTTTCAAGTCACATAATTTTTACATTATTTACTATTAGATTTTAATCCCATTGTTTCTTTATAAGTAACTCAAGGCAACAAACATACCTTCTATTTTCCTCACAATAACCCTATGAGGTGGGTTGGGCTGAGACAGAGTGATGGGTCCAAAGTCACCCAGCCGGCTTTTGTGCCTAAGGTCGGACTAGAACTCACAGCCTCCTGATTTCTAGGCCAGCACCTTAATCATTACACCAAACTGGCTTTCTGTATAGTTAAACTATGGTCAAACATGTCATTCAATCCCAAATGGGGAATTAACTCCCCTAGTACAGGTAGTCCTCAATTTAAAACTGTTCATTTTCCAACCAAAGTTATAACAAGCACTGGGAAAAGGGACTTACAACCAACCCTTACGCTTGCAACTGTCATAGCATTCCCAGTGGTCATGTAGTCAAGATTCAGGATGACAATAGCAGCATCCCAGGGTCACGTGTCCACTATCTGTGACCTTCCCAGGCAGCTTCCAATAAGCAAAGTCAACCAGGGAAGCTGGATTGTTTAACGACCATGTGTTTTCACTCAACAACTGTGGCAAAAAAGGCCATCATATTTGGTGTGACTCACAAATCAACTCCATTGCTTAGCAATGGAAATTCTCTTCTCAACTGTGGTTACAAGAGGATTAGCAGTACTTGATTTCTCCTTTTGGCCTCCAGATATAAAGGGGGGGGGGGTATTTTAGTTTCTGGCATTCTATTTAGCTAATTTTAATTCTCCCATCCTCCACAGAGTGACTGTAATCCCAAGGGGGCCAGGCATACTTTTGTTTTTTAATTTACAAGATAAATATCAGCCAAGAAATTGGAGTGGGAGTAGTACATATTTTCTGGATAATGTGGCGGTTCTGCTGCTTGTGTCATCCAAATAGCCTTGATATTTCCATGAGCTATCTTGATTAGTGACCCCATGGCAGGGATAGAATTTACAAATATACACACTTCTGTATATTTTGCCCTCTAGGACAAGATACCATAACCTCTGGCTGTGATGAGAGGGAGAATTGTCAGTACTTTGCAGTTGAAAGTGGGTTCCTTTTCTTGAAAAGGCAGTAAAGGCTCCAGGAGAATACTGTTTTTTTAATTGTTAAAAATATTTGTTTCCTCAAGTTGAGGAAAGCAGAACAAATTAAGAGGGTGTTCCAGTTCCTTTTTCCACTCTTCTCTAATAAGAATTCCATTTTTAGCCTTATCAATAGTTACCAAAGTTGCTTGAGATAATTTGTTAGAAGCAAAATAAAACTGTCATCCCAGTGTTTTTAAATGCCAGTAGATAAAATTTTTGCATTTTAAACTATGGTAGTTAAGACTATAACCTCAGAAATAAGTCTTCACTTACTGATAGTATTCATTTACTTGAGAATATTAAATTTGTTTTAAAAAAATGGATTGGCATATGTGCAGTTCTAACCATATATATCTCTATCTAACTACCCACTGAAGGCTCAGACTTTGTGTGATTAATTCATAGTTAATTATCATAGTTTACTTGATTAATTTGTGTGGATTTCCACAGTACACTGAGCTATAAATTAATCACATTCCACTTCCTACAACATGCTAAGACTAAAATGGAGTTGGCCAGATTGTAGCTCAGCATGTTGGGCAAAACAAAGATATTTGTTTAAGTGTAGTTAAGCCCATTATGCCAAACACTGCCCATATGTCGTACTTTAAATGTCCAGGAATTTCTTCAACAATGCAAAAACAGCCAGCAGCTGGAGAACAGGAAGCTAGAGCAATGCAACTGAAATCTCCACCTTCAATTATATTATAGTTTCATTAGGGCTATCAGATTTAGGTTGCAAAATTCCAGATCACCATTTATGTAGGTGCCAGGAAAGAGATACAGAAAACACATATTCTTTGCTTTTCTCTCTGAGTGATCATCCTGATTTCTGCAGCTTGGAGAGTCCATCTATAATTTTCATTATAGTGTTTTCTAACCCAGCATCGTTATTCATGTGTTATAGCACTCTGCCCCCATGTGGCATTCTGGAGTATACAATTAAATAGTGGAATGTAAAATAATTGCATTATAATGGGTGGCTGAGCAAGTCAAGGAGCTGCATCCCCAAACCAGGACTGGGAGTCTATGCCCTTCAGATATTCAGCTGAACTACAAGTCCCAACATCCTTCCCTTACTGGTTCAGCTGCTTGGAAATTATTCACCCATTCAATTAGTTTTCCCACCACAGCCTTAAAAACATTTGGAAGGATTAAGAATCCTTTGTAAAATGTGGAAAGAAATTCTGCTAAAAGGAATGTTATCTGCAATGAAGACTACATGGAGTACATTTGGTAGGATTAAATATTTGTAATCCCAATTTTTCAAAATTGATTGAAGCATAGATTATTGCAATACTAAGCTTTCTTGGCTGCAGGATGTTTTCTGCCCTGTGTCCCTTCACTGCTGAAGATGGTCGTAGGCTGTTGGACACAGGTAAACCTCCAGGTGGCCTCCATGACCTTCTGAAAGAATGCAAATGACCAGCTGTCTGCAAGGAGTATAAATCCTCCATTCCCCACCATCCAGTCAGAGCTGAAGAAGCTTCTTGGATAAGAAATAAAACATCTTCAAAGAATTTTTGCTCTTTTATATTTGTGCATTTTGAGGGAAACCATCTGAATGACTTGGGAAGCCTTGAGGTTCCTATATGTTACTCAAATAGCCTTCCTTTTGGTATTGTGGCATGCCAGCAACTGGGCTGCACAATCAAGTGAAGTCCTATCTGCGAGATGTAGGCAGCACGCCAAACCATGCCCCCTCTGGTCCGCCGAAAAGCCTTTCTCCATGGAACCAGTCCCTGGTGTCCAAAAGGTTGTGGACCGCTGGACTAGATGACCTCCAAGGTCCCTTTCAACTGTTATTCTATATTCTGTATGTAATGTAATGCTTCTTTATTAATGTTTGTTATTTTTGAGGAAGGAAAAAAATAACCAAGGTGGCAAAAAAGAAAATAGGTTTTACAAGCATTATTGAATGAAGTAGAACCAAATTTGTTGCCTAATAATTTCCAATATTTCATTAGTTTTTATATAACTAAATATCTTGTCTTAAAACCTGCAAGTCATTGCTAAATCCAGTTAGCATACAAGTATCAAGACCATTATCTTAAAGAATTAATTTCTGACTTACAGCCAAAGAATTTTTTTTAACAATTAGAGTCTTTTGAAAAATAATAGTCCACTCCTAATGAAAAAATATAGGTCTCATGATATCAGGATTCAAACTCTGGAAAGATTGTGTGGTCCAGTTGCTGGCATTCCACAAACAAGTGCTGGTCCACAGATCAGGGGTTGGGGACCCCTGGTCTAGTCCAACCCCTGCCCAAGCAGGGAATCCTATACAATTTCAGACAAGTGGTTGTACAATCTCTTCTTGAAAATTCCAGTGTTGGAGCACCCACAACTTCTGGAGGCAAGTCGTTCCACTGGTTAATTGTTCTGTCAGGAAATTCTTTAGTTCTAGGTTGCTTGTCTCCTTGATTAGTTTCCATCCATTGCTTCTTGTCCTGCCTTCAGGCGCTTTGGAGAGTAAGTTGACTCCCTCCTCTTTATGGCAGCCCCTCAAATATTGGAATACTGCTATCATGCCACCCCTGGTCCTTCTCTTCGTTAAACTAGATATAGCAATTCACAGGACCGTTCTTCGTGCGTTTCTGCCTCCAGTCCCCTAATTATCTTCACGGCTCTTCTCAGACTCAACGTGTTTTATGGCCCCACCTCCTCCCTTGCCGGATTGGGCGCGTAAACCCAGCGGAAGCTCCGCCCCCTTTGCATCAATGTGACGATGTGATTTTGGCGCGCTTTCGGAAGAAGTCCCGTTCTCCGCCTTTGCTGTTCCTATTGGAGACGCCCGTTGGCTCTGAGGAGCGAAAGCCGCCAAGGATGCGAAGCCGCGAGGAGGTTGATGCCACGTTGCAGGTCGCTAAACTAAACCCCACGGAGCTGCTTCCGACGGTGCAGTGCCTCAGTTTCAGTCCGCAGGTCGATGCCGGAGATTACTGCCTTCTGCAACTGGAGCCGGAGCTGTGTCACGAGTTGGAAGCGGGGCGAAGGTATGCGCATGCTCGGCACTGCCCCCCCCCCCAGCGGTAGAGCGTGCGGCTGGCTTAAAAAAAAAAATAATCTGGCGACTCTAGAGCGACCCCTAGCACCTGGGAGGGTCAGCTGACCAAATTCAGGAAGGGAATTGTATCGTCCGCCTCTGCATGCTCAAGATGTGTTAGACCAGTGTTGCTCAAATTTGGGGAATTCTGGAAGTTGAAGTCCATACATCTTAAATTTGTCAAGTTTGAGAAACATTGCATTAGACCAAGAGTAGGCAACCTTGGCTCTTTTATGACTCGTGGACTTCAACTCCCAGAATTCCTGAGCCAGCCATGCTTTCCAGGAGTTCTCAACCTTGGCAACTTTAAGACTTGTGGACTTCAACTCCCAGAATTCCTCAGCCAGCTTTGCTTTGCTGGCTGAGGAATTCTGGGAATTGAAGTCCACAGATCTTAAAGTTGCCAAGGTTGAGAACCCCTGCTTTAGACTAAAGTTCATCCCGTTTCCGGTTTTTTTTTTTCCCCCTTGACTAAGCATTATGATACACATACCTGGAATATTGGGAGAAGTTCAACTGTACGTTTTCAGATGTATCAGCCTCCCATCTTTATTATTATATATTTTTAAACCCTTTGGTCAACACATTGTAGTTTAAACCTGGCTTATATGCATTTGTTTGATCCTGCAGCCTAGTGATCCGTGGAGAGAAACATGAACGTGCTGTGATGTGCAGTAAGGATAAGACTTATGACATGAAAATAGCAGATACTTCCAATATGTTGCTTTTTATTCCTTCCGGTGAAACTCCAGAGCAGCTTCGTGCAGGCAAGGCTACCACTAATATACTCCACCCTGAGGTATTGTGTACTTGAAAATTCTCCAGAGCAAATTAAAATCTTTGAAAAATCATTTCCCTTCCTTTTAAAAAATAAATAAATCATATTTAATCATTTTCCAAGGAGTTCAGATTTGTGGATGTGAGAGAAGCCTAGTTTATCCAGTGAATTAAGTCTGAGCATTGTGTGCTCAAGAGTTGCAATAAATATTTTAGTACTTAGACTTATAGTGTATAGGATAATAATTTAAAATAGGCATATCTATGAGTGGGATCTTGGATCTGAGAGCGTATAACAGCTGACTGAATTTGAAACTCCGTAATCTCTGGGAGGACATATATTATCCTTGGCTTAGCAGGAATGTGATGTTTGATAGGATGACTGGAAAATGACTGAACCAGATGAATGAGCCTTTTTTCCCTGTATGGCTCCATGATTCTGTGTTTACAGCAGTTATTTCTCCAAGAAAATGCAATAAAAAATAAATTAAAACAGTAGCTTTTGGAGAAATTTAAGTAGTAAAACTATAACATGGATACCAGCATAATTTTTCCCCTGCTTGTTGTCATCACACATTTTGGCAACCTACAGCTGGAGAAAGCAAGGTTAAGATTGCTCAAGTCCTCATTCTGTTTTCTCACTTAATAGGCCCTGCCATGCACTGATATTTTAAGACAGCGGCTGAGAAATAAAAACATATTTTTGCTTTAAAAAGTGGTAGTTGGGGAAAGAGATTTATAGTACTTTAGTGGACTGCAGTTCGCTGTATCCAGGGATGATAAGATGTCCAAAATATTTGAACAAATGACAATTGAATCTTCCTGGGTTAAAACAACCAGATGAGTTAACATCAGTGTTTCTCAACCTTGACAATTTTAAGGCATGTGGACTTCAACTCCCAGAATTCCACAGCCAGCAATTGTCAAGGTTGAGAAACACTGAGTTAAATGGAAGTGGAGCAAATATACCCAAAAGGATGAAGTTCTAAAGCAGTTTTTTTTGGCAGCTTGAAGATGTATGGACTTCAACTCCCAGAATTCTCTACCCAGTGTTGTGGCTGGGGAATTCTGGGAGTTGAAGTCCACACATATTCAAGCTGCCACAGTTGAGAAATGTTCACAAAGACAGTGTTTTTGTCATTTAACATGCCGAACATAGGGGCATTATGCTGTGTTCATTCTCTGCTGCTACTGATTGAGGCAGTTATATATGCAATTGTCAAATTTACAGATTAGTCTGGCAGTTCAAATGTTAGTTCTTGCTGTAGATTGCAGGCTTCTCCAATAATTTTTGGGAACTAAGAAGATGCCGGCCTAAATTGAAGAAACTCAAGAAACTTCTGTTGGAATATCCTTATGAAGGTCCAGATAGTGAAAAAGAGAGAATTGATACAAATTCAAAGGTAATCGTTATATAATGTAAGGATGAATGCATATATGAATGGAAAAGTTCTCATGAGCCAAGACAAGATAGAGTTTTTCACAAAGAGACATAAACTTTGTGCAAGAATAAAAATTAAGCAAGGCGTGAATTGCAATTAAAGAGTACTAACCAATATTGAATTCCCAAGAATGTATGTTTATATTATTTCCCCATATGGCCCATTGTAAAGAGTATGTTAAACATGTGTTCATGTATTAATTACCTAAACCTTTTAGTTTGGTGCAGAGGGCGACTACAACTTTCCACTCACAAATGTATTCTACTCTGTCTCTGGGATCCCAGTTGCTGTAGTTGAGATATTCATTATCAGTGGAGTAATATTTTTCTTTTAGCGGTTTCCAAGTGCATAACTTATTTATTTTATTTATTACATTTATATGCTGTCCATCTCACTATTCAAGTGCTCTGGGCGGTTTAAATTTCTCTCCTTCCAAAAATATAGTGTACAAAAATGGGCTCCATCTCTTTTGTGCCTTCAAAACCTGATAGGACTAAACATTTTAATTACATTTGTTTGCATGTTGGTGCTATTTAAAGTGGCAAAGTGGGTAGTGCTTGATTCATCTGTTAAAAGTCCTAAAATATCTTTCCAGCGCAGGTCTCAGCATGTGGCAAAATTCCTGATTCAATCCTTAACCAAGGAAAATTTCAGATACCTGAAATAAATGTAGCTTGGGAGAAGTAAACAGGGCTTACGAAAGCCTCATTCAGCCTCCAGCTTTATACTACCTAGTAATTGAAAGCTGTGAAAATAATATATTCATAATTAAATGTACAAATACAATTTTAAACTTTTATTTATAAAGCAATTCAAAGACACTCAGAATAGCATTCAGACTTAAGGAAGACATGTATCTTTTGTTTACTTCCTATAGTATACAACAGAAGACTTCTTGGATTTGGTCCAAGCAAGCGAGGAAGAAATAATGGATCAACTGAAAGTTCTGAAAACATGCAAAGTTCAAGGTAGTTTTAGCTATAAAATAGATCCTGTTTTATATGTCTCTTGGAATTCCTTATTTAAACAGAAAATTGCTTACTTCTACTGCAGCGATCCTCAACCTTTGTGGCTTGGCGGCCCAGTGGGGGGGGGGGGGAGGCGAGAGGGGAACCAGGCCACATGAGCTGTGGGCTGGCATTCATATGTGTGTGCGTGCAGCTCAACTTGTGCAAGTGGCAGGCCGGCACACTCATGCAGCCCGGTTGCAAATAGGCCGTGGCCCGGTAGTGAGCAGCGGTTTGGGGGTTGGGGACCCATGTTCTACTATATTTTACTATAATACAGTATATATTTGTGAGCCTTTGAGTCAGTGTAATATAGAATAACAAGTATGTTAAAACTGTTTGCAAGAATAGTGAGAATTTTTCTAATGTTTGACAGTTACTTTATTCACTTGCCATATTTCATTTTAGGAGACCAGAGAGATAATCATATAATTGTTTAAGAATCTTTTTTTTTTTAATTACTTGGTAAAATAGCAAAGCAGTTCCCCTCCGATAAAGGAAAATATTTTTAACTCTGGGTTGAAATGAGGGGACCTTAGTGTTGTCTGAGCTTGGTTGATTCCTTGCAGATGTTTCATCACCCAAACTAGGTAACATCTTCATTGCTACTGATGATGTTACCTAGTTTGGGTAATGAAACGTCTGCAAGAAAACAACCAAGCTCAGAGAGCACCAAGGACCCCTCACTTCCCCTTTTGACACTTTATACTGGTCTTGTTCTCTGCCTAACATAGAGTTATGTAACTAGACAACCAGAATATAGAACATAGCTGCGTAGATAGTTGAATTGTACTCTTCTGTGGAGATATTTGTATATGTATGCACATGCACACCTTTGAATTAATTTTGATTCCTGGCAATTGTCTGAACTAGTCCCCATGGTTTTCTTGGCAAGATTTCTCAGAAGTGGTTTGCCATTGCCTCCTTCCTAGGGCTGAGAGAGAGTTACTGGCCCAAGGTCATCCAACTGTCTTCATGCCTAAGATGGGATTTGAATTCACAGCCTCCTGGTTTCTAGCCTGGTGAATTAATACTAGACCAAAATGGCACAGTTGAGTGTGAAGAGAGAAAATAATTAGGCTGGCATCATGACCATTAAGCAGATAAAAGAGTAGGAAAAGATCAACAATGCACTTGGGCAAATAAAATATTTTTTTAGAATATACGCTAATGCTATTCTCTGCTTGCAGGATATTGGAGGATTCTAGACTTTGACTATGAGATGAAACTGTTGAATCACGTGACCCAACTAATATATTCAGAGTCCTGGTCATTCAATAAAGTCCCTTTAAGTATATGTGTTCAAGAACTTGGACCTCTAGAACCCAAGTAAAATATTTTATTTATGTGTATTTCATTCTAAAAGAATAAGGCTCAGCCCATTGTTTGTGAGAAGCTTTTGTTTCAATTGTTATATGTTTACAAAATGACTGTCTTCAGATTTAAAGCCAAAGAAGATAAGGCTGGATTCATGTGCCAGGTCTTTCCTTAATATGGCTTATTTACTAAATTAAGTGCAATTACGAGTTCATAAAATGCACTAAAACGAAAACCATGTTTTCCAAGCCATAATGGCTAGATTACATAATGTGTTAAGTTACAGCCCAAAAAGTACATCATGTTTATTGTGTGATATGTGAATTTAGTCTCATATGAAATTAGAAATCATATCCATCTTTTTTCATGGCAGATAAATTATAACTTTAATTGGAAGATACTGTTTTGATGAATATATTCCCATTTTTTACACATGCACAATTTTTCTAGTGAAATGGGGGAAAACAATTGTCAGGTTACCTTTGGTGCAAGGGAGTGGATCAGTCTTCAGCCTGCCTTATAAACTACCTCTAAGTGGTGTTATAAGTGCAGTTAAATATTTATCATATATTCAAAAGAACTGTATTAATAAATAATGTAAGAATAACCCTAGGTCAGGGGTAGGCAACCTTGTCTCTTTTAAGGCTCAGGAATTCTGGGAGTTGAAGTCCACAAGTCATAAAAGAGCCAAGGTTGCCTACCCCTGACCTAGGTAACTAGTTCTAAATCAAATTCTGTAGAGAACAGGCTTGTTTACATTTTATACTGAAATTAGGCACATTTTTATTTCAGAGAAATGATAGAACACATTCTGGAAAGTTATGGGAAAAAATACATGGATGAAGGTATGTTACCCTCATAAGTGCTTATTTTTAACAATGAAGTTGGTATGCCTGGTTTGAATATTCATTAGAACAGAATGGCAGGGTAAAATTGAATGAATGAATACATATGAATGAATACCTGAGAATGCCAGATTCAAGATTAAATTATTGAATTAATTCTGGTTATCTTGCAGAATGTAATGTTATTTTGAGGTTTTGATGGAAGTTTTTTAAAGATACATTTAAAGTGCATGCAACATATTTCTTTGTTATTTCTGATTTTTAATGCTCCTTATCAGGTGAGACTTACTTTGCAATGAATGAAGAGAAGGTGTGTAGAGCAATTGCACAAATGCTCTTGCAAAACGCTGTTAAATTCAACCTCTTGGAATTTCAAGAAGTGTGGCAGCAGAGTGTCCCTGAAGGAATGACAACTAGGCTGGATCAGTTAAAGGTAATGTGATATGAGAAGTGCCACTTCCATAAATGAGTTCAATATGCAGCATAAACTTGAAAATCCACAAGGAATAGGGTCAGATTAGGACTTCTGGGGAAGAAAATTCTAACCATGTTTATCCTAAAGCTGACTGGATGCTCTTGAGTCATTTGCATCTTTTAACCTAAGGTACATCATGAGGTTGACGTAAGGCTGAAACTTTAAGAAGTTCTCTCATTGGAAGAAAGAACAATACTGAAACATAGCAACATGTGCATTTTTAAATGTTTATTAAGTTCATATTTTAATCTACTCAATAAAGGTTTCCTGGACATATTCCAATTTTGATTTTATGTATTCAAGGGGTTGGCTCTTGTGGATAGATCTTCTAAACCAGAGATTATTTTCCTGCTGAATGTTGAAGATTTACCAGAAGATGATAATGAAAGATTTAAAAGCTTGTTCTCTATTCGGGAGAAGTGGACAGAAGCTGATATAGTTCCATATATAGAGTAAGTAGTATAATTGCAGTCCTGTAGCAGTTCACAAGCCGTAAGCCATCTTATGTATGCTGAATTTGGCAGCTACTCAAACACATCTAATTCTTGCTTTAGTTCACCATTAGAATTGAGGTATTTTTAGCCCATTGCAAGTATCTTTCTGTCACCAGCAGTTTCCTTATTTCTTTTTGCATTCTTTCTAACAATCGTTGCACATTAGTTCAAATTTTCCGCTAAGTCAAGATTGTATGCTACTGCTAGTTGACACTGTGTATTGAAATACAGTGTGTTGTTGATGATTTTGTAATTTGCCTTAGAATATTGAAATGGTTAAATGGTTTTGGAAATTACATTTTTAAAAAAAAATCTTCTCTTTTACAGAGACTTATGCTCAGAGAAGCAAACGGCTGGCACTCTTCTAACGAAATATGCTCGTTCTTCAATGCAGAATGGACTCAAAGTTTATAATTCAAGAAGACCTGTTTCATAAAACTTATTTCAGCTGAGTAGGGGCTGAAAATACTCTAAAGACTGTCAACTAGTAGAGCAATTTTTTCGCCAAATAGTTTAAGATGCCTCACAATTTTCTGTGAGGCATCTAATAATATTAGGAGTTCTTGAGAATTCTTTACTGTTGAAACTGATATTTCTAGAAAAGTGTAAATAGCAGTATATGAGTATTTCCTTCAACTCTTTTCTGTATTTTGTTTTAAATCTGTATTAAATTTTTAAAAATTGTATAGATTAAAGCACACATTATAAAGAAGATCAGTTTAAGAAAGAGAATGGTGTTTTTTTATCTTTCCTTTATATTACTAACATTTAAACTTGATCTTTCTTGAAAGAACTAAGTCAGTCTATCTGGACACAATTCTGCTATTTTGTTTGTAGCTTACAGAATTTCCAGACACTCTAGCTTTCAATTGATATTCTGGTATTTATAGTTCAACATAGTTGGAGCATATCTTTGTCTTTGCTTTATTTCCTTTTCTGATACCAAATTTTATGTGAGCTTTTTTGGGGGGGAGGGTTACTTTTTCTTTCTGAAGAGTCTTAAAAAATTAGATAAAGTGATGAATAAACCTAACTCAGTGATAATCTTAATTACTACCTGAAATCATCAGATTTGTAGGTAGTGTTCTACTGAATATTAGTTGCTTGGATACATACTACCTTGCCTGTGAATATCTCAGACATAATCTGGCTGTTAGCCTTGGAATCAGTGTACTGAATTTGTGGGGTGTTATTTTATTATTAAATTTTCTGCAAGACTGTGTGTCCCTCTCATCTTTCAGATTCTTTAATGATGTAGCCACTGGCATTGTAACTGAATCCATCCAGCTGGCGGTCTTTCCTGCCACCTTTCCCAGCATTATGGGCTTCTCTAAAGAGAGACATTGCATAATGTGTCTGAAATATGATGATTTGAGCCTGGTCATCTCTGCCTCATGTGAGAAATCTGGGTTAATTTGCTCAGTGATCCATTGGTTGGGAGTGTTTTGACTACTCGTGATCTATTCAGGAATTTTCCCTAACAACAAAGGCCATGGCTTTGCCCTGTGCAAGCACAGTTGCTGAATCTTTTTTCTGCTATGTCCATCTGTCTTATCCAAATTTCAGCTTCACAGGCATGCTGAATTTTAACACCCATAATGCTCAGGCAACATGACTAGTGCTGAGGATTATGGGAGTTGATGTCCAATATAGGAAAGGGCTGAAATAATCCAACCCCTGCTTAAGTAAGAGACCTAATATTGTGTGTGTGCATATGTATGTACACGGCTTTTTTTCTCATAGAACACCCAAAACGGAGTTCCGACACCTTTTTTGGATGGAACCTTGTAGGATAGGCAAGGCAAGGCGGGTTGTATGACGTGTGTGAATTCCAGCACCCTTTTTTTTTTTAAGAAAAAAAAGCACTGTGTATGTATAAAGAATTGGAATGGAAATGAGCTGGTCATATAGCAAGAAGAACTGATGGCAGGTGGACTAAGGCAGTCATACAATGGATTCCAATTGATAAAAAGCGTCCACGAAAAAGGCCTAAAACAAGATGGAGCAATAAGTCCTTTGAAGTCTTCTAATTCAACACCTGCTCAAATAGGAGACAACATAATAATATATATTATATTATATTAATTTTATTCTTATATATTGTCTCCTATTTGAACATGGATTAGATTAGACGACTTCCAAGGACTCTTTCAATTGTAATTCTGTTACTTATTCTTAACCTTTCCCTGTATATATAAATCTTATCTTTATGTCACTAAATCGCCTCCTTAAAATACTGGCTTCTAATTTAATTAATTAACCCTTCGGAAGCAACTTGAGCAATGAATGAGCAACGTTCCCCGCCGTCCGAAATACGCGCGAAATAATTCCCCACCAACGCTGAGCGCGATTGGTTTCGCCCAGCCAATCACGAACCACGGTAGCTCTCCCACACACCAATGGGCTCCCTAGTTTGGGACGCATGCGCGCTGCCTTTCTTTGAAACAGTTTCATTACTGCGCATGGGTCATTTCCTCCAGTTTCCCTTTCTTCGCTTCTCGCTTATCAGCAATTGTGGTTCCGGAACGGAAAGAAAGAGGAATTTACTGCAGAGAGGCTCTACTAGAACGAGAGTTTGACCTTTGTCCCGGGGTCAGAGATCAAGAGTCGCAAGGAATATGGCGCCCGTGTCTAACCAAAGGAAGGTGCCGATCGGGCGTGGGGAAGAGGTTTAAGGCGAGCTGCGTAACGTTGCTCATCTCCGTGGAGTTGCATAAGTAGAGACCTCTCTCGCCGGCCGGCAGCCTGAAAGGATACGTCCCTCGGACTCTCGTCTGGAGGTTTAAAAAGCCGCTGCTTTGAAGAATCTCCTGTTGCCTCCCGGAATACCGCTCGCTTTTCTCAGTGCTTCTCGTCACGGGCCGCCGCTTCCTCTCTGAACAAGCTTCCTTGTCTGTTGGAGAGCCCCGCCGATTATCCTTTCACGGTTCAGCTGGAGCCCCATTTCGTTGGAATCTTTCCCCCCCCACACACACACCAGCCTAACTTGCTGTGAATTGAAATCTCCAAACTTGCTTTAACAAAGTGTCCTGGACAGCCTGAGAAATACACCTTTTGAGAAGACTTGGTAGCTGGACATTCCCTTTACTTAAGCCAGGTGCTCCCCAGGGATCGGATCCAAAGGGTTGCTAAAAATCAAAAGATTATAATAGAAAAATCTCCTCACAATAAACCTAGAAATATTGTAAGATTACCTTGAAGTGATTCCGACCGGATCTGTAGTTGGAACATAAATTCAGCCATGGGGATTGCTTTAGTGAACATTGCTAACAATTGAGCCTAGAAATATTTGGTGATACTATACAATTTGCTGTTATGAAGAGGAATCTGAGAAGCCTCTGCATTGCATAACTAAATGGCTGTAGAAAATGTTTTAACAGTTTGGTTTGGATGCCAGGAACTGCTACTTATAAGAGGAATCTTTTAAATACAACAATATAAATCTGCCAATATAACAAGAAAAAGCTTTTTAAAGAAGATACGGCTCCTTGCTTTATAGCATATAATTAGATCATGTTATAATCTTGAATATGAAGTGTAAATCAGTGTTACTAGGTTTCTGATTTTAAAAAAATGTTTAAATAACTCCTTGATTATATGCATTTCTTATGTTATTTTTCCATTTTTAAATGGGTGATGATGCCTCTGGATGTCTCTTTGGGCTGTTTTGCTGCCAAAAATGCTTTCTTACAAAGAACTTGTCAAAACAGGAAGAATTGAAACTACTTCTGTAAAGACCGCTAAAGAGGATGGTGATATGTGTTTGATTTTCACCAAAATTTAGTGCTTCTTTTCATCATGAACAGAAAGAAAGGAGACAAGGGATTTGAGAGTCCAAGACCTTATAAATTATAAGTATATTTATAATTATGGGTTTTTAAAGCTATCATGGAGTATCATTGAAATGTCCAAAATTTATATATATATTTTTTGAAGGCTGGTATAAACAATAACAAAAAAGAAAATTGTTGAACTTGTATTTTAACAAATAGATATCAATTTCATATAAAACAGAATTCATCTTTATGGAAGGGGCTCTGCTACATCTGAGATATATGCAGCATATATCCTGCAAACAATTTGTATTGGATTTTTAATATGGGCTCTATGAATTATTCTAAGATTGTTTAAGGTTAACGTAAATACAGGTGGTCCATGGCTTACAACAGTTCATTTAGTGACCATACAAAGTTAAAATGGCATTAAAAAAAGTGGTTTATGACCATTTTTCACACTTAGTACTATTGCAGCATCCCCATGGTCACATGATTAAAATTCAGATGCTTGGCAACTGACTCATATTTATGGCGGTTGCAGTGTCCTGGGGTCATGCCATCACCTTTTGCGACCTTCTGACAAGCAAAGTTAATGGGGAAGACAGATTCATTTAACAACCATGTTATTAACAACTGCAGTGTTCCCCTTAATTGTGGCAAGAAAGATCATAAAATGGAGCAAAATGCACTTAACTGTCTCACTTAGCAACAGAATTTTTGGGCTCAGTTGTGGTTGTAAGTCGACTACCTGTACATTTAACAACTTTCTATGTTTCACACCAGTTCTTATACGTATAAGGTATTGCACTGATTTCAGCATGAGAGCATACTTTGATTATTTATTGCTGTATATGGTTATTCTGTGGTCAGTCAAGAAAGATGAGACAATTAAGAATTTGGGGATAAATCAGCACGACATGTATGCTTGGACAATTGAAATCTGGAAATTTTTCACTGACGTTCTGATAATTATCTGAAATTTGGTGAGAAAGGAAAGCTCTAAGTGTGTCAGTGAAACAATTTACCTACCTAGTTTAAAACATTAACATTTCTGAACTGTTTTTAGTGAATGAAAATGAAATTTCAGTATATTTATACTGTTAGTGCTGAATGTATTTTATATTTACACATAGTATACTGTATATATATCTCTTTCATTAAATGTGAAATAAAGCATAATGAAAATACTTTTTGTCTAGGCTTAACTACTCTTGGATGAAACATTCCAAGAAATTTTTATAGGCCTCTTAAAATACTAGGTTATGCACAACACAGCCCAAAAGACGAGTTAAGAATTTGTCTTTATTACCAAATGTCATATATGTCTCTAAATCTAGATTTATCAAAATCTTTATTTATTTTGAATTTTCTTTTTTCCCCAGCACAACCCATCAGGTGATTTGCATCAATAGCATAAATTTTCAGAGAAGATCTGTTGTCGTAAGTATGCTAAGAAGAAAGCTTACTAATGGATATGAAACCCTTCCTTCCTTCCTTCCTTCCTTCCTTCCTTCCTTCCTTCCTTCCTTCCTTCCTTCCTTCCTTCCTTCCTTCCCCACCCATCTTGCTATTGAGAGCAATTTAGTTTCTGCATCTCCAGTAGGCTCACTTAAAAAACAGATCAAAGAGAATTAATGCCCTGTGGCATAGATGATGGATGGACATATGTACTGGCTTCACACTTGGTACTTTAATGATTTTGTCTTCAGTTAATCACAATTAGCTGCTTCAGAAATCAGAGGGGTGCCATAGTGAACAGACTGAGCAAGTTGGGGCAAAACTGAATTTCTCTCTTCTACCTGGTCTCAATTTTCCTAATTTCTTATCCCTCCCTCCTCTATTTTACCTCAGATGCAAATGTATCAGCATTGCATATCACAAGTTTTCTTTATGTTTAGATCACATCAAACCAACTGTTCCTTGCACAGATTGATTTGTGCACATCTTGGTTTCATAAAAAGCAAATAACTTTGATTATAAGCTTTTTGAGTTTAAAACGTGCTAATTATATAAAGAATATCTGACAATGGGGTTTCTTTTTGTTTTTTGGTAGGGCTATGTGGAGCTGACAATATTTCCAACAGTTGCAAACCTGAATAGAATTAAACTGAACAGTAAGCAATGCAGGATATATAGAGTTAGAGTCAATGATTTGGAAGCAGCTTTTATATATAATGATCCAACACTAGAAGTTTGTCACAGTGAGTCAAAACAGTAAGTAACAGGTCATATTGATTAATCTTGTAGTCATTATCAATGATTTTCACGACAGAATATAAATTGGATTTTAGAACTATAGATGCCTTCTAAATCAGCACCCCCCCCCCAATCTTTTGGGCACCAAGGACCTGTTCCGTGGAGAGAGGTTTTTCATGGACCGAAGGGGGCATTGTTTCGCATGCTGCCTGCATCCCATGGATGGAGCTTTGTTTGTTTGAGAGGCC